TGTGAGATAACTTCGAAAGGCATCACCAGGATGGAATGCTGGACCGTTGGCCTTGGCGGGAAACACCCCTCCTCCATATGTGCAGTAAGGTGGTCAGTTCAGCGTTTAGAAACTTCCTCCAGCACAGCAATGATTCCCCTCCCAAATACCATGTCCCCCTCCCCGTTTCAATGGCAGCCGAAGCAGTAGCAAAGCAGAGGCTGACAGAAAGTCTCAATCTATATTGTACATTTCTCTCTCTTTCATGGCATCTAGAGCACATATCTATGTTTTTATTTGATAACCACCGGCCATTTCACAAGATGTTTTAGTTATAAATCAGAACTCCACAAGTTCATAAGCATTTGAGACATGGTGGAGCAGTGGTTAGAATGCAGTATTGCAGTCTATTTCTGCTGACTTGCCAGCTGACTGCAATTTGGCAGATCAAATCTCACCAGGCTCAAGGTTGACTCAGCCTTCCATCCTCCCGAGGTGGGTAAATTGAGGACCCAGATTGTTGGGGGCAATAGGCTGATTCTGTAAACTGCTTAGAGAGAGTTGTAAAAGCGCTGTAAAGCAGTAGATACGTTTAAGTGCTATTGCTATTTGACAAAGTGAAAAGCCTTGCCTCAAGGAAACTATTTTGAAAGGCTGCAAAAAACCTTTCCATTCCATTCTTTCCTATTCTACCTAGTAGATCGAACCTGACAAAATGATTCCATCTTCAGGTTAGATGTGCTAGGTAAGATAGGATCATCCCTATTTTCTCAATCCATGCTGATGAAGTCAAAGATCCATCAATTTAGAATTTACAGTATTCCGGCACAGAGAATCCTTGTATTGAATTCTTCTAAATCTGTTTGTGCAAGGAAAAATAAGAAGATGGACAAATTTGTACCTCTAGAAATAATCTTATTTCTACTCCCTATGACTTGTTTCTATATCAACTAATACAATATTATGGTACCAGATGTAAATTAGCATATAACAGAAAGGTTTTTTGCAGCCTTTCAAAATAGTTTCCTTGAGGCAATTTTCAATAAAAATTATACCAGTATTTGCATCACAACACAGCTCCAAAACAAATATTATCATCCATTTAACTATATTATCCATTTAACAACCCTCAATTTCTTCTTACTCTGTGCTGCGCAAAACAAAAGTCTTTGGCTAAAAAACCCCAAATCCAAGATGATACTATGATGTGATGAATAGTTAGAAACATGCTGAAAATATACTGAGTGCTCCATTCCATTGTATCTATTACAATTGCTGACCCAACTTTTACTAATTATTTTTGGAATTCAATAATTGGGAAATATAAACAGAATAACGATTGACTTTCATAGAGGCCTCTGTCTACATAATATCTGACCAAGATTATCTGAAATACTTGTCAGGTGTTAGTCAGGTTCCTTATGAACAAGAGTTTTGCATTATTTTAAAAGAATGTTAGACTGTTTTTAAACATGGATTTGGTGCTCTGAAAGAGTGGTAATTGTGTAATACTATTTTGGACGAACAATACAGAAGATTGATTTTTAAAAAGAGTCAGGTTCTCCTACTTATGTATTGCTGGTTCTATTAATATTGTGGACATTACTGGCTTACTACTTCTTCTCACAGACAATATGTGAGATTTCATGTGGCCTTAAATGCTATCATTACTCGGATCTGGGGGGCGGGGAGGCATGGCACTGCTATTTTACCTACTTCATTCTGGCTATTTGGCCACCCATAAGTTGTTTCCACTTGCCGGTAGCACTGTTGTTCTGCTGAAGCATTAAGTCAAGGACATTGCTTTTAGTCATTATCAACAGCTCCCTTTGCTTCAATGTGTGTTCTTTCTTTCTTTGCACTTGTAAGCTGCACTATTTTAGTCATATATTTCTTTCATAATAAGACTCTTGTTAGGAAACAGCTTGATCAGTCATATACATGAAATACTTCCTTGCCTGCAGACTGGTGGGCAACTTGACATGCAATTTTTAAAAAAGGGTTTAAAAAAAAAGACTAAAGATGCCATTTCAATGATCCACTTGCATTGGCCTTAATTTGCCCCATCCTATGGCAATTGATAGTTGTTCTCCTGCTAGTAGGTGAAGCTTGATAGGATGGGAAAGATTGGAGGATTTATCTACTAGTTTCCTTAATTTGTCCCACAACAGTAAGGACAGTATTAGACAGCAGAAGAAGTCAACAGCAATTAGGGAAGTAAATTTTAGGCCAACAGACTTTTCTGTCAGTTCAAGGACTTTTGGAAAGCACTTTAATGTGGCCGTCTGCTGGAACTCTTACACAAGGATAGTCCATTCCAGCTGCTCACATCCGTCTCTCTTACATCTCCATAGGCAATCAGCCCAAATCCCCAGTGGCAACAATATTAGCCATCTGCAGTGTCATTCAGAAACAAGTCAGGCTGCAGTAACATCCAACAGCAAATTACTTTTCAGAGCTTTGTTCTTTCAGAGATCTTGTGTCTCTCTGTAGCACAGCAGGTTGATCTATAACAGTGATGGCGAACCTATGACACGCGTGTCAGTGCTGACACNTTATCCCCCTTCCCTTTTTATTGTAAGCCGCCCGGAGTCCTTCAGGAGTGGGTGGCATACAAGACCAATAAAACCTGAAAACCTGAAACCTCAAAAACGAAATATATTTTCCAAATTGATTGAATCGATAATTCCTGACAGCTAGAGGACATGATGACTGGTGCTAACAGGAATCCTAGTTTAAAATACTGAGCATAGCAGGTCTGTAATCCCCTCTCTTGTAGACAAAATGAATCTCATAGGTTAATACTATATATGTTTACTTAGAAGGTAAATCTCACATAATTCATTGGAATTTAGTATTTAATAAAAGCACATAGAAGTTTATTCTCAACTCAAAACATCACCTGTCTTTTTCTTCAATACTCTTGAAAGATACTCTTCAATACCCTTGCTACTTTTCTTCACTTTGTAAGTTTCATACCTGTTATGGGTAGTCCTCAACTTATGACGTAATGAAAGCTGTCTATTATGGTCACACATCATGACAGTTGTCAAGCCAACTCCAACTCTTCTTTTTTATTAAAAAAAGCATAATGTGAAAATATTACAAAGCTATGATGGAGAGTAGATATCAATCCTTATGGATCTACCATATATTTCCTTCTTGTCTCCCTTGCCTGATGTCTTTGATTTTACTTGCTAACCATTTCCTAACTCTTTCCTGTAATTTATATAATAAGGTTTATGTGAAAGAGAATAGCAAGTATATATACATGCTACTTGCAGGCTCCTAAAAAGACTACTGGGCTTTTAAAATATGTTTCCAATTAACACTATTGTAATAGCATCTTAGAGAACCCAGCTTGGTATTGTGATTAAGGCACTAGACTAGAAACTGGAAAACCGTAAATCTTAGTCCCACCTTGGGCAGAAACCCAACTGGGTTACCTTGGCCAGTCACTTACTCTTGGCCCTAGGAAGAAGGCAATGGCAACCACGTCTGAAAAACCTTGCCAAGAAAACTTCAGGGACTTGTCCAGGCAGCTTTCAAGCATTGGACATGATTAAACGGAAGGGGAGAAAAAGCATCTTATATACTAGTATAATTATTGCATTTTATGTGCTTACTTCTGACATATAACTTGAGCTTCTTCCATTGTATTTCCAGCATTCAATATGTCCTTGGAGTCAAAAGTCATCATGGCCTGAATTTCCAAAATGGTAGCATAGGTCAGAGCATGATACATGCTATCCTTTCTTCTATAGGAGAGAAGTTAGAGAAATAGGTACACAAGGCCCAAAGGCAGCACAAGAAAAGAATAAGGTGACCAGACGTCCCGATTTTCGCGGGACAATCACACTTTCGCGCAATTTGTCCCGTGTCCCGGGGCGTTCTTAAAAAGTCCCGAATTTTGTGACCGGACCCGGAAGTAAGCCTGCCCCGTCCCCAGCCCTGTATACCTGTCCCATCCGGCTGGTATTTTGTCCCTTCTGTCTCCCCGTTGTTCAGAAAAGCAACTTCGGGAAGTTCTTTTGCTAGCAGGCAGGTTCTAGGACGCCTGCCGCCACCAAAGGACCTTCCCGGAGTTGCTTTTCTGAGCAACAGGGAGACAGAAGGGACAAAGTACCGTCCATTTTCCCCGTGCCACGAGGGCAGCAGGAAGACTAGGACAGGGATCTCCTCTGGGCTGCAGCCTGGGAGAGAAGCAGCAGAGAAAGGTAAACCAGCATTTTATATTTTATATTTTATTTGCTTTATTTGCTTTC